TCCAACATTTCTCGTCTTCCTGTTGTTGCTCAAAGCCATTGGTTTGGGCTTTTCAGCTTCGTCTTTTTACAAAGCTGTAACGATAAGCTAACCTTTTGGTTAGAACCCAAATTATTGATATTTCATGACTTAATGTTTGAAATGCTATTAGGTGAACCAGAAAGGTTTAAACCTCTAACAGTTATTTCTTTAGTTATGAATTAGGTTCAAATTAAAGAGCAATATTAAAGATTAAAGGCCAAACTCCTAAAAATATTATTTCTAATGCTCTCATGTGGAACATTTTCCAAATGGCTCTTGAGATATCAGCGTTCAAAGTCAGGGAAGTCTTTCATAGGAAACAATGGGGTTCAGACCGAAAACTTGCAATTAAGCGCACAAAAGTGATATGCTTAATCAACCAGGATAGAGCATTTGATGTGTTCTGGACTTCGAATCAGATAGCTCCAAAAACGTCCTTTAGCAACATTTATTCATTAATTTGTGTTTTATTGCTGAAATAAGGTACAGTAAGCTACCAGATAATGAGAATACCTTGGAATATCTCATTTACACTATTCGCCAGGCAGCTCATTTTCTTGATTATTATCTTACTTTAACTAATCAAATTCAAGCTAAATTGCTTTTTAAACTGATTTCTCGGGTCTCTTTAAAGATATTCGGAGATATTCAAAGATATTAGAAAATTAGATTTAGTTAATTAATATTCAAATTTTAAATGAAATTCAAAGATTCAACTCTTCCATTGAGGGACCATTGAAAAAATGATTATCATTATCTAGTAGCTTGCTGTAAGTAATACATGAAATACAACTCTCCACGCGTCTTGAAGATATCCAAATGTTCACCCTTGTGGTGTTACAAGATGTAACAAGATAAGATGGATAAAATGAGGATAAATATCTTTGACTTATTGACAAAATATTTCGACTTTGGTCGAATCACCCTTGGACGTACTATAATAGCTTTAAATGATGAGGATGCCTCAGAATGCTTGCCTCGGCTTTGGTCAAACCTAGGCAGATCATCCCTTATATTTTTATTTAGTTTAATCTTATTGTAATTTTAAAATGTAATTCTGACCAATCTTCGTATGGCTACCGAGGGTGGACATATGAGCCACTCAGCCATCTTGACTCACTTTGTCAGCGCCCATTACTGATTAATAAACTTGCTATTGCCCTTTGGTAGTGTCTTTAGTTTTTGACTTTTGGTATGCTGACATCTATTTAATTAAATTTTACGGTTTAGACAATTAGTCCACTTTAATGACTTACCCTGAAGGGAAAAGGGTAAAAAGGCTAAAGGGGAATCACTGGACCGGACTAATTGTTTAAACTACAAAATTTAATTGTCTTCCCTTGTAGTTCACCTAGATGTCACCACTCCAAAAGTGAAAAACTTAAGGCAATCCTGTAATTAGTTAATTTAATGATGAAGCAGACTTTCAACGTTTCTTGACTGCAAATGAAACAATTTGGTTGACTCAAGGGTTAATGTTTATTATGGCAAGCTTAATCATTTAACTAACATTTCTAGGAAAACTGTTGAACGGAATCAAAAGCATTGATTATATTATCTAATGGTTCATTAGACAAGGTCTAAAAATATCAATTTTGAGCTTTTATTGATGACAAAATGATGAATAATGACATTTGTTGTTCAATTCAATACTTTTTGTATTCATTTTGTATATTATTTTTGAATCTTATGTTTGCTGCGTTAAACTGGAACACACAAAATTAATATTGATCACTAAGAAAGGTTATTAATTTGATGATTAAGATTTGATCCTAATAAAGATTCATTTTAACTGATGAAAATCATTGAATGAAAAGAAAGGTTTGTTATTGATTTGTTATCTTGCGAGCAAAAATAAAGCATGTTGATGGTTGTTTTGATGAGACAAGTTGAATAAATATCGATCCAATGTTCCCTTTCGGTTGGAGCATTCATTTTAGCTATAAAAAGCTTGAGAAAGGTTGAGTTAACTCTGTTAATTCTGGTAAAGATGATGATTAAAGATTGTTGATTAAAGTAAGCCAATGACGACCTGTTGTTTGATTGTTTCGTTAACTGGTTCCTCTTAATAAGACCTTTTCATCCCACAGGAGTAATGAAATAATGAGAAATAAATTCAGTCCAGATTATCATAAGCTTTACCCTTTGTTGTTGAACGGTTTGGATCATACATTTTGCCTACATTTAAATAAACATTGGTATTATTAGGTACAGTGAGAGCAATGGGATTTGGTGCAGTTATAAATGTTTCCACCGAACATGTTTCTGTGCTTTCTGTGCTTTTTACCCTTCAACCTTTTCCATTTACATAGGAATCTTCAATTCTGATTCATTTGACTATTTTTGGAAGCTTGGTTTGATGTCAGTCTTTAAATTTTAGCCCATTTTTACAAGAAAATTTCTCAGTTTGTATTGTGAAGAGATTGTTTGCATTTGGTAAAAGCTTATGAATATTTTGTACATTACTATTATTTGCTTACCTCAATTTGAATAGCAAATTTCAACAACACAATACTAATAATCATTTAGCAACATTTTAGACACTGTTTTCATTTGAAAATCAAATTTCATTTCACATTGAGTTGAGTCGAGGTGAATATTTGTTGAAAATATCATCAAAAGGTTCGGTTAGCCATAAAATATTTAACTAAAATATCAAGTTCATTAAGCAAACAATTACAGTAAAGTACCAGATAATGTCCTGTGAAATAGCTTATTTACACAGCAAAGACTATTCAATGAGCATATGTTTAATTAATCAAAATATCAGTATTTGTATTGGTTTGTTAGGAAAGCTTACAATTAACATTACCAAGCTTCAAGAAAATTGAGTTTACCAAAATGTTAAATTAATAAAATCTTGATGATTGAAAAAACAGTGGATCAGTGGATTTATTTGCAATTAAATTACAAAGAAATTTAGAATAAGCAGTTTCTTATTGTAAAAGCAATTTTTAATGTAAACCATTAGTAACCATTTGACATTATAAAACCGTTTAGATTATTTGGTCATAGTTCATTTGAAGAGTTGTAAAGTTTGCTTAATTGATTTGATTTTTCAAATAATCTTTGCAAACGGTTGAACCAGAAAACCTTTTGGTTACCATTTTGATTGGTTAATCCAACTGTTGAGATGGTAACTGGTAACCTTATTCAACAGTTGTTAAGACAATGGAATAACCAGAGAGTTGTCTTACTCTTTGAGAACAGCGCGCCTTTAAGGTTGTCATCTATCAGTCATATTTTTACCTTTTGTTTTATTTAGTTTCATCTTTTACTCCAAAATTTCTAAATTTTTGTTAACCCACCAATTGTGCTTTTTGATTATTTTTTGTGTTTAATCAGTATCATCATTATCAAACGTCATGACAAAAGGTAAATTACGAACAAGTTCATCAAAGCCGGACCATTACTCAATCATTGAGTCTCATAATAATGGGCATACAATGGATGAGCTTTGTTCCAAGTATGGCTTGAAAAGGTCAACAATCAATCGAATAATCAAAAACTATGAACATTCTGGCCTTTCGTTAGTTATTAAAACTAAAGGATCCAAACCCAAGTTGACCAAAGACCAGTTGTCGAAGGTATTTTGTTACTACAACTCTTCGCCTAGAACCCTTATGGACATACAAAAGTTTATTTACTACATGTTTGGAGTTACAGTCTCAAAGAATACAGTCTCTAATTATTTGAAAAGAGCTCGCGATCTCAATCCTGGACTTTTATTCGATATAGATTATCCTAATAATTATATTAAAAGTCAAAAACCAATAAGTGATGAAGAAATAAGTCCAACTCAATCGACTGAAACACACGATTCAATAACAAGTATGATGGAATGCTCATTGATCACAGACGATACGGAATCTGAATTTTCTTTCAACAGTGAATAAACTCCATGCAAGCTCGTTTGGATGGTTCCTACTCTTAATCTACATAGATGTTTTAATGTTACTCTTTAATTGTTTTTATGTTACCCTTTTTTAAACAAACCCAAACCCAACCTAAGTCACTCATCTCATTTTAGGTGTTTCAACCAGTATCTGGTCAACTTCATCTGACTAATTGTATTCAAATTATCTTTACTTTTGATTATCAACTCTACTTTCACCTAGAATGATCAATTAGAAGTAAAGAGATTTAATTCACATCAAATTAGTCACCCAACCGCATTTTACTATCCAACCCATTTGTTTGCAATATTAAACATTTGCCATCTTTTCTAAAAACCCAGTCGTTTCTCTTTTCCATTTTTAGCATATTTTGACTGCAAGGCTCTGTCAATTTTAAAATTGATTCCATCTCAATCAACTTGCAACCATTCGATGGGAAAAAGATTACTCGGAAAAAATCCATTAAATTCAAGTATAAATAGAGGAGATTGATGTTGAAATTGATGTAACTTGATCAAATAATATTTGAGGATTAATCCAAGTTGACCCACTGATAAAGTGATATTTGAACATTCGACCAGATTCACTATTATCAAGATAAAGATTATCACGACAAAGAAGAGAGAACCAGTTTATTATTACTTTTATCATTTTCATTATTAATATCAGCCAAGCTCATCAGAAACAACACAGCAACAGCCAAAAATAAAGCCAAGATGAAATTAAAGAAGTAAATAACAGAGTAAAACAGGAGGGAAAAAGGTTATTAACAATCGTGAACATATCAAGAGGCGTAAAGTAATCTAAAAACCTCAAGGAAAGCTGAAAATTCTGGTTAAATGTTCTTAATCTTATAGTTGTTACTCTTATTATTAGTTTAATTCTTATTTTTTCTTCTTCTTCTCTTATTACTTGTTTCACTTTTTATTATTTTCCTCACTACCTATTATCAAGTGTATTTACTATCACCTTAAGTAAACCCAGTAAACTAAATTAGATTGAGTTTGAAAATTTCATCAGATGATACCAGTTTAATTTGCAATCTAATGAAAATTTATAACGTCATTTTTTTTCTATTTTCAGCATATTCCTTCGAAATTGTTCAAATTGTCGAATAATTTGTGCCAGTCAACAATTTCGTGCTCGTGATTGTAAATCTCTCTACCTATTCTTACATTGTCTTACTAAGCCAACCATTGAAGCCTGTGAAAACATTCAAGTTGCCTGTTATTCATTCTTTTATTCACAACTTTCAGGTAATTTATTATTAATTTAAAAGCTAATTTTGATCATTTCCATCAATTCCATGAGTAAAGCCTTGAATGAGTCAGTTTTCATCATTGACTAACCTTTCAAGTCCAAACTTTGAATTCTAGTCACTTCAATGAAAGACTTTCATTAAATTCATCATTTAATGCGCTAACAATAGATGGCGATCAAAATACAAGATCAACCAAAAAGCTACTCTTTGAGATCAACTTAAATCTGAGCTTGATGGCTTAATTTTTTGTATTAATTAATTTTTTGGACATTTCATTATTATTTTTACAGATCAATTTAAATTAGCGGGTTTAACAGTTTTCAACAATTCATGGAGTCAAGTTTATGATTTTGGTGGAGCTGAAGGAACCCAAAATTGGTCTCTTCTTGATCCAGTAAGTATACAATATTTTGGTCTCGTCTGATTATATTGTAATTCATCATTTTTCTCCTTTCTTTGACAGGATATTCAGCCTGAAGAAGTTTTTGAATGTTTACTTAATATTAAGGAACCTGAAATCTCGTTGGATACAGTTTTGAGTGTGGTTCCACGAACTTTGGGAGTTCGAACTGATCAATCGATTGAAACTGGTTTGGTGATATTTTTCCCTGATGGCAATCGCGAGAAAAGAGCCAAAGCCTATATTCGGGAAATGGCTGAAAAATCTGTGAGTTTAATTGTCGTTGTTAATGGCAAGTTATCGCTTAGTTTAATATAAGTATTTTGATTTACTTACTCAATTTCAGTGTTCCTTGGTTGCAACGAAAGAGTTTATGATGAAGGAGGTTGAGGCCATGCAAATATTTAAAACCGATTCATATAATTCCATTGTTGGCCGTGGTCCAGTTATTGCAATACAACATCTTGGTCCCGATTGTATTAAGAAAAGCCATCAAGCAGCTAAAACAATTGCTCTGGAAACTGGATCAACTGGACTTGTTTACGTTCCATCTAATCCAGAGATTGCAATGGAACAAATTAAGCTTATCTTCAACTCGATTGACCTTCCACAGGAAAAATTTAGCTCACCAACAATAGCTAACAAACAAGAAATAACCGAGTCAATAGAATGAAATCTTTGATGGAAAATTGTTCTTTTGTAAATTGTAAGGTTAAATTAGAGCAGCAGCAATTAGTATAAAAAGCTTTGTTGACTAAAACAATCCTTTTGTACCAATACTAATACTCATCATCATCTTTCATCTAAAGTAATCAACATTCATACATAAAAATTGAAAATAAGCCTAAAACCAGTTCTCAATTCTGACCCAACTTATCAAATACACTCAGAATTAACAATGTTTTTATGCTGAACAGTTATAAAAGCCATTTTTAAATTGTCTAAAACAGTTTTTGAGCGTGAAAGAAACGCGATTTTTAAACTTGAGACTTTTCAAGCCTATCTTATGACTAACTGTGTAAGTTGAGAATCAATTATTCAAACCTCTTTGCATTACCATTATCTTTGTACCATTAGACTTTTCACCGTATAAAGAGCTTCATTTTTGACTTTAAATGATGATTAACCATTATTTGATAACCAAAACTGACATTTGATTGAGATGATGAACAAATTACATCAAGATGTATCCAACGAAACCGCTATTGTGTATAAAGAAAATCTAATTTTTGCAACATTTTCACTGTCAACTGTTGATCAGTGAAAATCATGAAATTGAACCAAGCAAAGATTTCCGCATATCACAATTATTAATGGTTAATCCAAGTCTGATCAATTTATATCAAACAATATCAATTGAACACTTCTATCTATAGCAACAAAAGGGTGAACAATAGACTAAAGGTTAAAACTGAACCTAGCACTCAACCCTGAAAGAGACACTTCAGAATGAAAGAAACAACTGACAAATGATTCTTCGTCTGTTTAACAATTGATTCACATGTTAATCAAATTAATGTCAATGGCGATCTAATGTCAAAACAAATTGGACTAATTAAAATAAGATGAGATTAACCAGAGTCAGACGAATAGGTAATGAATTGAAAATTAAATTAACCAAATGGTGAACGTTGGCTTCAAAGCTAAAAACCAAAGGAACAACAAACAGTTGCATTCAAATTGAAATGTAGACGGTTAATTGAATTAAATAAACAGGCAAAGTTGACTCAATTTATATCAAATGGTCACTTTAACAGTCAATGTTAACTTGAAATTTAACATTAACAGTTGCAGAGCCTGTCAATGTCAAGGGTTAACAAATGATTATACAGGGTTTGATAATAATGAACATGAATCAACAGCTGTTTAATAAATAATCCAATTGATAGTCTACAATTTACAAGTAATAAGCAATGTTTGAACTGTTGATGATTCACGATGAATTTACCTGATTTGCTTATTAGCTGATGATTTCAGTGAAAGGTTGTCATGTTTACAGTTGATAATGTATTGGAACGGTTTGCCAACTACTGTGTTAATCAGCTAGTTAATTGATGGATTTAACCATTGTCATTTCATGATCAGGTTTTAAGTTGAACATGAACTTGTACATTACTGTATCTTGCGGGATGTTAATTGTAAAGTAGAAGTGCTGCTTAATTGGCTGGTAGACGTGAGAATTGACCTGAACAACAATTGAATGGAACCAAGTATCTCTTAATATCATCATCATCATCATCATCAACATCATAATCGTAATAATCTTAATATGATCATTATGATCATGTAATGTAAAAAAATTGAGTCAACTTGAAAGGGATCAAAGTAAAAAAGCAAGTAAAATCAATAGGAGCGAGCAAATGATTAAACTGTAAAGCTCACTTTTTTAAACTATTGCTTTTTGATCTCAATTAAATTTGGGATGAATCAATTTTATCTTAGTTTTTCTTACCTGATTGAACAATAAAGTGGAAATGATGTTGATGATGATGATAATGGTAATGGTAATGATTATAATGACCGGTTTTATTGTGTATCTATTGTAGCCTTTGAGTAATCACTGGTGATCTTATTTTCCTGGTGAACTGCAAAGTAAACAAGTTGGCTTTTATTTGAATTGGTTCCGTTTTTGGGTTTCCCTGCTTTTGGCTTGATTATTATTGATTGACTAGGTAATCTGATTATATTAATTGGATAATAATTCACATATTGTCGAGTTTGGTTGGCCTTGTTGTTTATTTGGGCCTAAGACTTACCTTGACTATTGATGGACATCATGCTTTGTTTATTGTCCAAATTGATTTCAATTATTTTAACGGTGAGAAAATGTCTAATGTTTACGATTAGACTCAACTCAAGATTCAAATTAACAGGTTAAATGTATCATGAACCATTAACAGAACTGTGGTAATGCAATAAAGATAATAATAATGATGATGTTAATAATAAACATTATCATTTGAAAGGGTTCATCAACCATCGACACCTACAACAAAACTGTCTAGAAACTGTTGAATAAAAAGTAGTAATAAAAAATAGTTAACCCGCTAAGGTTCTTTGTTATTTGGTTACTCAATTTCATAACATATTATTTGTTCAGGGTGAGTATTTAATTGGTTCATGAACAAAATATTGAAGTAGGTTGGATTAACTTATAATTAACTAAAACATTACAATGTAATGATTACATTGTCAATATGAAACTTGCGGTTCAAATCTAAGCTCTTGTTAGATTATCATTAGATGGCGTTGTAACTCTTTACATTTGTATTGTTGAATTGCATTTTATTTTTTAAAATTTTTGTTACTAAATTAATCAAATTGAAATCATCTAATATTCATTAATTTTAATCAGTTTCCTTTGCTCATTGTGGTTATTTTTAAAACTAATTTGTCAACTGTCAATCATTCCAACAGTAAACCTAATTTCAACGACGTTTTAAACACTGAATGTGATCTGTGTTTTTGGTTTGTAAAAAGCGCGGCATTAAAATAATGCGAAAGTACTTGTATTAAAATACATTGTAGGTTAATTGTTAACAATTGATAATTTTATTTACATTAATTTATAATTGGAGAACAATCCAATGCAAGATTTTTAAACATTATGAATCTTATATGGCAATGAAAGCATTGTTGTTTCTGCTAATAATAATGTTAAAGTAGTTTGCTTTGTTAGTCTAACTCAGAATAATTCAGAATTCCATGTTTTTTTTGATTTATTAATTTGTTTTCTTTCTTTGATTTGCAGGATTTTGAGATCATTTTACTTTTAGTGGCAAAAATACTACAACTGGGATCTCGAAGATTGTTATTTTTCGAAGGTCTTTGGAGCGGTGAAAAATTAAATTTCTCGGACAATCTTTTTCCTTTGTCATACAGCTTTATCACTTCATATTTTTTACACGTTAATGGTCGATATATCTTTGTTATGTCGGTACTGGCTTTGATTAGATTAATTCAAATCATAGTTGTATTAAGTTCTAAATGTGAAAACGGCATAAATGCTGATTAATCTGTGGCTCTTTTCCATGTTTATTCACATTCCATCCAATTGTTCATGCCTCTATGACTAGGAAGCAGTGGATCCGGATAAAATGCACAGAGATAGATTTGGAATCAGTTGAAATGGAAAATTATGATGCATACCACACACCGGCAAAAAAAGATAATTACGATGATGAAAGTGATATTTTTTCATGAACTCATGCTTCAACAAGTTCGTTGTCTGGATCCCATAATTCATCTAAAGGTTTTATTTTGGTTGTTTTTGGAGCAATTCAAGTTGAAGTTTTATGGCAATTTTGGTTGTGACTTGAGAATAAGACAATTTAGAAGAACAACAAACGAATAATTTGGATAACAATTAAAAACAACTTCAATCACTAGTCATAAACTAACCAGTTCAAACTTGAATACTTCGAATGGTAACAATCATATTTTCTCCAACTCCAGTTGATTGTGGTTTGAGATGATTTTTGATCTCATCGGATTTAGATGTATTGTTACTAATTGTACTAGAAGAAGACTCGGATGTTGGTTCCGAAGGGCAGTTGGCAAACGGTGTTGGAGGCTTAATTTTTGTTACATTTATGTCTAGATATTGTGGAGTATTTGATAGTTCACTTAAACTATTTGGTTTAATTGCTCTATGGGATCCATCGTATGGTAAATCGGGCAAGTAACACAAGGGTTCCTCATCTAACTCTAATTCCAAATCAGCAATGTCCTGAGATGTTGAAGTATTTCCAGAGGATGGATATTGTTTACCGTCTTTTGATTCATGCTGAGGAGTAACTTGACATGATGAAGTTGCACTTGATGTTTGGTGTGATGGACTGGCAGCGATTGAAACAGCAGCAACATAACTTAAATTGGGCATTGATTGTGTTTGCATGTACTTCATCTCCTGCCGTTTTCCTGTCTCATTAGAACCAATTACTTTACCCTGATGACTACCCGTTTCTGGACAATTGGCTTCTTTTGTGTTACTGTTCAAAGTTGACAAGGGATTGGTTGCAGTCGTTGTTGTCGTCGATGAAGTAGATGAATTTGACTGATTACCGTTACTAGAGCTTGCTTGGTTGGATAAATTACCATTAATGGTAGCCATACAATCAGATTTTATTGAGTTTGACCTTGTATTGAAAATTGCTCTATGAACTTCATCGAAACCCACGCTAACGGAAGATGAATTTGATTGGTTCACAATAAGGTCACAATTTTTATATTCACCACACTTGTGACCTGGGTCAAAATTTTCAACAGAGTTAACATTCATCAATTGATTGACGGACTGTGATGTTGGCGAAGAAAAATTATGTGTACCATCACTTGAAGTTGACGAGGAATAACCAAAGGTTGATGTAGATGAACCAACTATGATTGTTGATGGAACGGTTGGTATCACAATGGTGTTTGGATGCACATTTATATTAGATTCATTTTCAGATTTTGAACAATCTGAATCTATTGAAGTTCTTGTGTTGTAGATTACTGAAGGTTTTCGAGAAACATTGGTTAACACTGCATCGTCCTTATCAAGATAGTTTTCATTAATTATACATTCAAAATTACTATCTTCATTTGATTCATTTTGCTCATAGATAATGCTATCTATTGCTTTGGTCATGTCATGGTGGACTGAAAATTGTTTACTGGACAAGTTGATTGGAACATTGGATAACGATTTGTACGAGTTGTGGTGATAAGTTAACTCGTCTTTCTTTTTGTTGTGTAAACTGTTAAAGGCTATTGATTCAGAGTTGAGTGTAGAGGTTACATCATGATGAACTGGATCATCTTGAACATGAACTTCAACAATGCAAGAACTTTTTGATGGAGTTGTAACCACTGGTCCACCAATAGTCAAAGTAATTCCATCAGATGAGAAAGCATTACACAACATTCGTCGCTCAGAAATTGGAGTTGATAATTTTGATGAAGAATTATCATATCCATCAGAGTCAACCAAACCATTCGAAGCTGAATTAATTTGATTATGTCTTCGATTCATTCCATTATTATTATTATTATTATTGTTGTTGCGATGATGGTGATTACTATTATTGACATCATGACTTAAATTATTAGTATTGGTATTACCTTGAGAAGCGCCAGAATTGCCGTTAACACCATTTGAATCATTGTTGTGACCAGACGCTATGTTTTCCAATGACGAAGGTTGCGAGTATGGTGGTGGCGGTCCCCAAGCCGCAAACAGTGACTGAGGTGAATTTAAAAGCGGCGGTCCATTGTAAAAGGGTGGTGGTGGAGGGTGTGCATAAGCCATACTATGTAAATGATGGAAAATGGCATCGTTTGATCGCGTTCTTCGAGTATTTAACCGAGCCAATGATCGGTTTCTAATTGCTGAACGATAAGAAGGATGAAGTGGTACAAGTAGAGGTGAAAAATGTCCAACAGGAAGCAAAGGATGGTGAGGAGGAGGTAATGTCGGTGTTAAAGGAGGTGGTGGTGGAGGCGGTGAATGTGGAGGAGGTAAAAGTCCATAGCGATTTGGTGATCTGTGATTAAAACGATTTTCAGTCACCATTACTTCTGGACATTCTGTTGAATTGATGGTGCGACCACGTCCTTGTTCTCGAGAGATAAGACGTCTTGAAGTGGGTTGTCGTCTGTTTTCCCTTTGTTCTCGGTTAAACAGCCAACTAAACAGAAAACTGGCCAATGTTCGAGATTCACTTTCATTACGTGCAGACTCTTCAGCAACACGAGCTCCTGTTCCTTCAGGTAAAAGGCCTGAAGGACTATTCACTACTGTATCACCAGAAATAGTACCATTAGGATCGCTTGGAGAACTTGTCGGACACGGACCAGTTGTTCCATCATATGTAGGAGTACAATAGCTTCGGTAATCAATAAGATCCCAAGGAGGAGGTGGCGGTGCTGGCCACATCCAGCCTCCTCGTCCAGGTACGTTACCGTTTGATCCATTGGTTGGGTAAAAAATATCATCCATAAAGGCTGAACATCCTTGAGCAGCAAGTGCATGTGGTGGTGGATAGGAGAGTAAAGGAAATGGTGGACCAAGCGGATCATGGCCTCGTCTAGAGAATGCATGCTGATGAAATCTTCGTCGTGATTCCAATTGTTCAAGATATTTTCTCTTCTTTTCATGGCTCATCAATTGGTAGACTAGCATGGAAGTGAAAATGGAGATTAAAATTCCAAAAACTGAGACACCAAAAAGTGCTCTAAGACATGTATTGAGACTGCCATGAACCACATCACAGTTTGGTATATTTTGAAAAGCGTAATGACTTGAATGTCCAGTAACTATTGGTTGTGATAAAGGCCAAGGATAAATGGATGACAAAAAAAGAGAAAGACAAAGAAAAATGGAGATAAAATTAGAATGATTACAATGAAAGTAAATTTTTTTGGAAGAAGCTTTTTGTTTGGCGATATTTGGATAAATCAACCATCAAAACAGAATCTTCAATGAACCATGAATAACAAGCAAACAATAAAGCTCAGGATAAGGAATATACAAAAAAGCAAAAAAACAACAGCGGACAATATTGATAATTAAAAATAACTAAAGCCATTGGGAGTGAAAGGATAACAAGAAACAATCACATTGAATTGATTATTGAAATGATAAACTAACCTTGAACCGAAGGATCATTTGAACCTGTTATTGCTGAACCTGTCATGCATATACAGGTACTTGATGATGCTGTGTATTCACATCCTTGGAGGTTTTGTAATCTATTCAAATGGATTACAGTTGTTGTTACAGTTGTGACAACGCAAATAAGCGCACAAATCAGGCAAAAGGCTCCTGAAATTTTGATCTAATAAGGAAGAAAAAGAAAATTATTCGGGTCACATAATTAGTTAATAGTTCGTACAGCGTTGTTAGGTTGCTTAGAGAAGAGTAGTGCATAATAAGGGTTAACAGTAACAATACAAGATAATTAAATGTATGAATCTATTAATGCTATCATGAGTATGTTTGATATCAAGCTGATTGTGTTAACCTTTACGGAGAAGATTATTTAATTTGATGTTTGGAGTTGAATGTTATTAACAAGCTGGACAACAACAAAAGTCCAACCAATTAGATGGAAATTGTTTCTCTAACCAAGTCAAGATGACAATAAAATATGTCAACTAGTTAAGTGTTGATTAACAAAAATTAGAGGAAAAATATGTTTCTATCTCTTGATCAGTCAGCTGTGCTAATGGTCAAAGCAAAACAATCAATCATTAACAAGTCAGATTGTGACAAAGTTAATTATTGTTGAGATGTAAATATTGAATATTTAATGTGTTTCTTGTATACAATCAAGATTGACTCTTTTTTGTATTATAAATTAAGATTGAATATTTACCAAATAAAAGTATCTCAGATGACGTTTGGCTAAGATACAAACAATTATGCCATTTACAATGAGCTGTTAATGAGGATGAAACCAGAATAATGTTGAAGATGGTAATGATGTTTGTGGTGTTCATTTTCATAATGAGCATTGAAAGAATGGTGTTAGGTGAGTCCAATGCAAAAACCAAGTGATGATAGGAATGATAAAGACGGGTAGAGTAAGTGTTGAAAAATTGTAAACAGAAAAAAAAGATTGAAATTAATAGTAATGTAAGGTTAACATTTTTGTGGCAAAGTTAATTGATATTAGGTAGATAAATCTTTCAACATCATTTATCTTTTTTTGTGTAAATTAAAAATCAGGTAACGATGAGGTGAATACTTGGTTGTATGGTTAAACAGTAGAAATGCATTTACCTTTCACTTTTTGTTTTCTCACAGCTTTTCACTTTTTACCCGTTTAACATTGATTAGCATTACAATTATTAAATTAGCATTGTATTAAAATAATTTTAATCAATTCAGGTGTTACCCTAATTAATCTGGATGATTGTCACATTCACTCAGGATTCAGAAGGAATTTCATTTAGTCTGTTAACAAGCTGAAACAAACTGCTTCAACATCACTTGGTACTGAACAACAACAGTAAGGAAAGTAATGTCAGTGATTTAAGTTAATTGTCGCTTATTGTTTCTGTCATCTAATTGTGTAAACTAGCCTGTTGATTGGTGCAAGGCTTGGGAATTGGTTTCAAAATGAAAGTAATAACAATTTGTATTAATAGTTTATCATCATTTTAACAAGCAACAAACTTGAGGGTAGAGTTTCAAGTTGTTAAGAAAGATTTATAAGTGTATCTTGTATCTGTTTGTGAATCTGACATGATTGGTATAATTAAAGAAATCTAATTAAGAAGTTATTGATTAGTAAATTAAAGTGGCAAAAATGGATAATGAGACAATTGACAACATTGAAGATCACTTGTTATAAACTCCTTTGATGGTACATTTTGAAAGACAATAACCGCAATCATATTTGATTGTTGTCACAATAATGGGATAAATGATGTTGAGGATTTTTAACAGTTTTTCACAGGGACACAATTAAAGATTATATTATTACCGTGATTGCAGGTATATATGTTGGTATGGTTTCAAAATAATGAAGTGATGAAGTGTAACTTGATAAAATGAGATAGATTACGATGAAAGCGAGACCAAGAAGAAGTAATAAACTTCCACAAATTAAACAGAGTATCACATATTTGTGGCTAAAGGCATCTTTCCAGGTTAGTTGATTAACATTCATCTTTTTAAGGTATCCACAGTACAAGAGATATATACACTGGTCTGGGATAAGCTGGATTTGTTTGGCAAAATTTCAATTTCTCCAATAATTTGAGGATTGAGCTGAACAGCAAGAAAAAGATATCCACACAGAAAGTGATAAATCAACAGCAATGAATCAAGTGTTGGCAACAGTCTTAACGGGTTAAGTTGCCCTGATTGAAAATTTCCGGTAATAGCCGTTTCAATGGATAATAATCATTTTTGTAGCGTATGATGCTTTTGGTTGTTGGCTAGTTACGATTTCCAGAAAAATACAAAGCCAGCTAAGGTTGAACCAATTGTTATTTCTGTAGAAAAGGAATAAAATCAAAATTAATAAAAATAGATACAATTGTCAAATCTGATTAACCCATGTCAAGTGTAGACTGATAAAAAATGATGGAAATAACGTCAACAATAATTTAAAGTCAAGGATAATCAAAGTTTGATAGAAGTAGCAAACAAGTTGACAGGATTGACGGTTATTTGCTACCATCAAACATCAATTATGATATTAGTAAATTTTTTTATCTTGCCTGTAAGCAGTATATTAGTGAAAGTGAATTGTTACAAAATGAAATTTTCAACTTAAAATGCGCTCTTCATTAGTAAACAACAACTTTCACTGATGGTGCTGCTGTGCAACAACAAGTGTAAGATGATGTAACATCAGAAGATTGTTAAAGTATTGTTACAACGCTTTTAGTGACCTGAGTTTTTTTCTCCTTATCTCTCTTCTTATCATATTTGTGACAAATGAAAAGACATCTATTCTAAAGACTAAAATGTTGCTGGGTAAGTCAAGTTGTGCCAATAAACTAGCAAAGAAAACCTGAATTTGGTTTGAACATCACCCAGTTTAGAGCATTTTACTGGTAAGACTGATGGTTGTGGTTGGTAAATCAAAAGTCACTATGATTAACTCGCTGATTTAACTTTGTTTATGTCACGCAAAGCATCATTGTTAAGGTTGACATTTCCATTTTATTTCAACTATCACAAAAAAGTACGTATTTCTGTTGCCTTATTTCCTCGTCGGGCTTATTATTCCCATTTTCCCTCCGTTTTGCTTACTTTGTTATACGTACATAACTGAAGAGTTTTTTTTGTTTATGAAAGTAAACACATACGGAAGTAGCTGTTCCTTTAAAAAATCAAATTTATAAACAAATTTTGATGTTAACGTTGATGGTGGCAGTGATGGCGATAGCTGATGTAATGTGAAGGAGGATGATGCCGATCAATTTTGACAGACTTAAGAGATCAACTCGAAACACTAGCAAAAAGATGATTCAAAGACTAATATCAAGCATGAAAGACACAGATGCAACGTTATAATCCAGTGGCAACAAAACGATTAAAAGCACAAGTTAAAAAAACAAAGAAAGCGAAATTACCAAAGGAAAAAGAAAGTTCAAGTTGTACCATTGGCAGTAAACTTGCAAGTAATAGTAGACCTAATCTTACAACGTTAACCCAACCCTGAGCTAAGGTCAATCAATAGTGGTTTTCTTACAAGAAAGACATTCCAACGTTCAAGAGGCAAAATAGTGAGACAGAGAGTGAGAAAGAAAAATAAGGTCTTTGGTTTAAAAAAATAGGCAAAAGGTCTAAAAAGTGGAATAAAAAGAGAGAGAGAGAAAAGAAAGAGATATTTATGTATAGAGAGTCAGACGATCCAGTAACTACAGCTAGATCTTTCTTTGGTTATTGGAGGGAAAACTGGAAAGAAAAGAAACAAACAAAAAGACCTTAGGAGACTTTTAAGGCCCTGGAATTTTAAGTCATGAGAACAGCCTAGGGCAGTTTATCGATAGACAAACGAGCTAGGTAAAGAGACAGAGATAAAGAGAGTGAAAGAAGAAAGAGGTTTACCTTAAAATTATGTTTGTATTTTTACAGGGTTGGCCTTACGTTATTTGTGTTTACTTTCAAATTAGTTAACTATTGACTTCTTTTTGTCTCATTTACCCACAGAACGTTTTGTTTGATATGGATCATGTTTAACCTGCTCATAGACATTTCTCAGTGAGATAAAGATGCACAATCGATTGATTTAGAAGGATTTCAAAGGAATTAAAATTGTCCTTAGTTTGTTACCTCAAAGCAACCAGTTTATCATAAGGATTTTCTTGGATTATTACCGTTTCTGTTGAACTGTTGAAATGTGATCATTTACTTTCCACTGTTGCTTCAAGTCAACTTTTTCAATGTTCACCATTTCAACTTAAATTACATCTTTATTTTTCAACTTTTTTTTGCTCATGCAATAGTTTTCTTCCTCTATTTTACTTATTCTTTCTCGTCAGCTCTTGGTATTTTCTGCCACTTTAGTTGGACTCTCTATGAATCTAAATCATTTTATTCTTTTTATGTCTTTTTTTAGCGTTAAAAGCCAAATTTTGGGTCACGGTTTGAAGCTAGCTTGGATCCAACAAATGATATTTGAAAAGCATTTCTGGAAACCAAAAAAGTTTACCAATGTTGGCCAATTTCAACAAAATTGTTGTTTTTTTCATTGGACATAAAGGAAAGATGCAATTATTGGATGCAAACCGTTGGATGGTCAATAGAAAAAGTGAAGCCAATTGTTTAACTTCAATTTAAAATTCAAGCCACTCTTTATTCACTTTACTATTTATCAACTATTTTTCATGGAATTAAGTAGTTACTCAAGGACTTGACCACAGAAGACCGCAAAAATTTCAACTCTCAAGACTATTTTCATCACTCTGCACCCATCAGCAATCTAATTTCAGTTTGAAATTGGATTGGTACTAATTTATTTTTAATTGATAGCAATTGTGGCTTTCAATAAGAGTGCTGCCATTTAGAATTATATCTTGAAAGAAGTCATAAAACTGTCTAAAGAGCATACACACTGGAGTTTGAGTTATTTCAGTCACACCGTTATAGCCAGAATAGTAACTTGAATTATCGTAATGATAGCATTGAAATTGTACAACTTTTAAAATGGTATTAAATAATTTTTACAATAACTAGATTTTTAAATGAATGGTGTTTCAACTCAAACAATGATGATGCATCAATATCTAACAGTAAGGCAAATACGGAAAAGAAGTAAGCAAGAAATGAAACACACAAAGAAAACAAGGAGCATTTTACAACTTGAACAAATAAGGTAACCTGTAGTGAAGTCACACAGAGAGTACTGGATAAAGATGAGTGATAAACAAAAAAAAGATGAAGATAAAGCTGAGTAAATCACAAAAATAGTTCATGAAAATATTAAAGATGAAGTAACCACAAGTAGTAGGAAAACAAAGCACCATAAATCCATCTTTACTCAACGCAATTTATTAAGCTTATCAATTTGGGTAGAAATATAAATACAGATTAACATTAGAGTTAATTCAACCTGATTAAATTGACATTAAACCAATTGATCTAACATAATTGTAATGAAATACAATTAAAGAAACACAAGCAAAAGGATAAGTAAAACATAACAATAAAGGGCAAGTGCATCAAATAAAAGGCTAATCTAGGGCAAGTTGTTAAATCTACATTTGTATGATGGCTACAAAAGCCTGTCAAGAAGCTGTCATCAGTAAAGAAGATAAAAAAGAAAGAGAAAAATGATAAAAATGAATATGAAGACGAGCTTTTTACCTGAAAAATTGAAATCAGTTGACAAGCAATTAAATAAAGATAATAAGACATCAATCACTAGACAGATACAATTATTGAGTTAACAAACGTCTTTTCAGTGAAATTGTCCGAATGAAGTAAACAATTATTTGCTTGGAACCAGTTAAAATGCATCATCAATGATTAACTATTAAAGTCATTGTTGAGGTAAACAATTAGCAGGACAATGTTTAAGTGAACATGATTATTGATCATGATTTTGGGTTTGCCGTAAAAGTAGCTGGCCAAGTCGGTGGTCAAGTAAGGGCAAATGTATACATAATAGAGGATAAAAATTGATGTTGCTACCGCTTCTGGCTGATGGTTATGAAAATGATTATCAAGATTATTGAGGATGATTGTTGGTGATTGAGGAAGAAGCCAGGAATGGGTAAGTAAAGGATAAGAGGAAAAATGATGCTGTTTGCAAGATGAAAAATTATCATCACGCAAATTGTGTATAAAATAATTATTATTTATTAAAGCAGGATAAAACGAGAGTGATCAATTGAATGTTTTTCATTTGTCCTCAATAGATAATCATCTTGGATAATTGATTAACGTGAAAAAAAGGGAAAACAAAAATTGTAATTATCATAATCAACAATACGAAATGGTCAACAAAATCAGTGAATATTAATAAAGAAGAAAAAGAAAAAGTTGTTCATTTAAAAGTAAATTCTGTAGCTATTGTTGTCAAATTGGCTTCTTTCTAGTCTACATAATTATTCAAATTAGTTGACCAACGGTTAGAAAGGTATAATTTAGTTGAACCATTTAAATGATCAACTTGTAAATCAATGTATTACAAAGCAATAGATTTGCCCAGTCACTTTTGTACAGTCATACAGCTGGAACATTGAGTGTAATGTTTATAAGAATTAATCATTAGTGAATTAAGTCACAATTGACAATTGAGTTCATAAATATGCATCAATATCAATATGATTAAGGCGATGGGATCCAGGCAAACCTTGTAATTTTGTATTGTTTTCAGGTTAATCACTTTATGACAAACCCTCGATCAAACCTGGCTTTTGAAATGTTAGCTTCCACTGTTGGACTTCGTTGCCTGATAAAAAGCAAAAACTCTTCAATTCGACTGATTCATCTGAAATGTTTCATTTTGTTTGAAAAAATATGCATTCCTAAAAGTCTATTTTTATCAAAAACAATGATTTTTGTATCTTTAAGTGATTGAAGGACTTTATGGTCTTGTTAAGATATTATCATCTTGTAAAGATTTCTCATTTCTCTCATGAATTTCCGAGTAAAAAGAAATTTTTATTGGAACCAATTTGAGTCGAAACAATCAGTAATAATTTACAGCAATTTAATACAATTGTTTTAGTTTTCAATGCTCTAGTCACAATATTAATGCAAAGCAATGGTAAAAAATACGTTTAGACAAACAACCCAAAAGGTCTATCAGTCAAGTAACAAAAAGCCTTGTCAGTTGATATCTTTACCTGAACCAACCTACACAGTCAATATGTCTAAATAACTCAACCTTTACTGACTCAGGGCAAATGACTTCAATTGTGTTTCAAACAATATGCATCAACATTGAAACTGAATGCATTAATGGAGAAAAAAATTGACCAGAGATTCAAGGTAATAATAATTTTTCAATATTTCAAAAAGGTTATATGGACAGACTAAACATCACGATTGTCACTTATTGTTGTTAACAACTTGTACCATCATATAGCCTTGTTCAATGTCCATCACAATAATAATGATCCTTCTGAATAATGTAAATGTTTCCAAGATTTGTTATTAAAAAATTGATTCTCATCTGATGAGCTCTTTTTCACCTCATCATTAATTTACGGGAATCATTAACTTCCAAGTTCATACCAATACACTTTACTAACACGATGATGGTGAAAAAACAAGGCCAATGAATGATATAAGGCTAATCCAAGTCCAACAATTAGCGACCTTAATAAGATAATAAAACGATAATGGTGATTATGGTATTGGTTGGGAAGGTTAACCATTTTTTACGTCCACAACTGATCAGTAAAACACACAAATTACAAGGTAAAGTGTTTAGTTGTTTTTTTGTTCATTTAAGGAAAAGTAACGTTAGTGAAAAAATAAATGATCAACTCAAGGTAATAACATGATCATTTGAAGAGTATAATCACAATTAGAGGATGAAAAAATACTGTTAAGAGATAATTAATGAAGAAGAATAAAAAATGGCCAATTTTCATCAAAGTTTAACATTGTTTTTGCATTTAACGATCAGAGTTGCTTTTAATAGTTTTAGATGATTAGCAATATCATTAACAGTGATTATCCTTTTCATGCCAATTTATTGATTAACAATTTAAACCTTATAAATTCATTGCAATATTGAGAGACTGAATGAACAAAGAAATCATAAGACACTGTAATTAAACTCTTTTTTTCTGTTGGTAACAAATGAAATTAAGGCAAAAAAATATTAATATCAATTGTATTATTGGATGAATGGTGAACAAAAGAAGTGCATATAAAGTTTACATTCAATGGTTTGTATTGTTCAACTTAAATGTTTAATGATTATAACGTTTATTGATGACAGTTGAACCAATCAATATGCAACATTTAATGATAATGTAATCATTTCCTGGCTAAATTATTGTCTTTATTGGTAAGATCTCAATCAGCTGGGATGAAAGAGCTTTTAAAGTTTCATTTTTATGGCAAGAATAAAGAGAATGAAAAAAGGCCAAATTTATGGATTTTATCATGAAACACACAAAAGATAGCATTAATAGCGTTTAAGAGTTTGCTGTTGAGTAAAGCTTATCAGACTGTATTAACGTCTAAAGTACATCATTAGGTTATTTTGCATTGTGACAAGAGATTTGTTCAGTTTGTGTGAATAAATGTCATCAGATTGACGCATTTCATGTTAAAGTTTCGGAAAAACCTGGATAGGTCAAAGTTTAACTGATTGATTCGACTGGTTAATGCGCATAAGGTTATCAAGAGAAACTTCATTTGTCTTGCAACCAACATCTTGTGCACATCATTGGGTTAACCAGAAAAAGGCAGATAAAATTCTTGATATATTCTTGTAATCTATTTCATATCAGGAATATTGTAAAGTATTAAAATGACTTTTTTGCAATTATTTCAACTCTTTTGCTTGAAGTGAAGGGTAGGCAACATCATTAAGAGATTTGATTATGAACACAAAAATGAGACAAAAGTCTCAAGATAAAATTTTATCAACACCAACATTAAAAAACAAAAATCAATTTGAATAAAACTGGTCATTTTGGTGGCATTTGATAAAGCAATAAAGAAATGGAAATTCATATTTCTGACTTTCTTTGGTTATTACCAGATAATTATTGGAAGAAGTGAACAGAATCAATTGTTCTGATTTAAGTACGAATCCAATGATAAAATGCAGAACTCATTTGACACTTGACTTTCTTCGAACCCTTTGACTGATGAGACCCAAGCTCATGGTGTCGATATTCAAGTGGATTTGTTGATTAAACTGTTGATTGATTCAAGAGATATTGACTTTCAATAGCTAAAGATGATTTTATGCTAATAAACATTTCCCTTTACAATTTGAATCGTTACTCAAGCTAATAGTTTACCTCTGAATTCAAGCAAAATGGTAACCTAATAAAGCAGCTAAATAGCCATGAATAACAGCTTCAAGAAAAGGTTTTAAAGGCTATTAGATAATACAAAATGTGAACAAAAAAAGGTTTCAATCTTATTATTAGGATTCGTTGTAAAATACAAAAAATGATTCTAAATGAATTGAATTGAAAATGATGGCACAAGTGCAGGTAAAAAACGGAAACAGTGCATAAAATAGAGTTTTATAAATAAAATGATTAACTGAATGGAAATCATGTTTGTAAGGTGTTACCTTTTATTATCATTAATATCATGATAACAATACAGACAAATTGTTGTTTCACCGTTTCTCACGTTTTTCAATCTGAATTATCGCAAATTGTTCATTAAAGCAACAACCAAAAATGAACAAATAATTGTTATAATAAAAGATAAATTTTGCAAGTTTAAACAAATTCTGTGTCAAACAAATTGTCATTCAAATGGTCAACAATTATTGGAAAAGCTAAAAATAGAATCAAATATTGATAAACTGACCCTAATGTTGTTTCAATAAATAATCTTGTAATTGATGTTATCCAAGATTAGATGAAAATTCATTTTTTACAATCAAATAATTTCTGTCAATTTTCAATTTTAGTCAACCTTTAAAGGTGTGAATCTATCATTGAAATAAATCTTTCATTCTTCTTCAAATGGATTTCATTTAATTTCAAATTAATCTGGAAAATTGTTCAATATCAAGTTC